ACCCAAGTCAGTTTCGGCGATTATGAGGCCGTTGCATGGGCAACGTAAGGTTATTGTGTCGTCTAAATGCTTAAAAAGTCGGCCAAGACGCCGTGGAAGCCAGAAGGAGTGAATGCAGAGAAGACTATCCTGAAGCTGTAGAAAAGAACTGCCTGACCGGCGCAGAATTCCCGGATTAGACGTTCGAAGGGAACACACGCTATTGTATCGCGCCATTCGTTCGTGAGTATATGACCATTAACAACTTGAAGGACATGCGTTAGGATCGGAACCCCCCCCCCCCCCGTGTGCAGAACACGCACTGATAAAGCACTGAAGCAAGTAGCAAGGCCCGGTAGCCATACGCACACATGGTAGGAAACATGAGTGAACGATTGCAATGACAACGTCTCCCAGAACAGACAGCGATGTGCGACGGTTCGTGACGATCAAAATGATCACCAAAATTCACACGTGCGCTTATTTCAAAAACCTTTATGTAACGGCCAGTACGCGTCCGAGTCGTTTGTTGCAAGTTTGTTGCGCCTTCAACCCAACTGTATTCCTTAAATGTGGACGAGACGGCCTCTATCTTCACGCTCTATCCTGTACTCTGACCGTAAGAAATCACGCATTTCTCAGCTTTCTCTAATATTTACCCTTCTAAGAGCAGAAGCCGAGGCGATGAATCATGAGCGCTAGCTACGAGGTATAAGAAGTCTACCAAGTCCTGGGAGATATGTAACACGAAGAAGCGAAGGTGAATACTGCGATGAGCGGCCCAAGAAGAGGATCATCGTTGGAGCAAGCTGTCACAGTTAACGAGCGAGGCGCGACCCGTGGCTTGGAAAAAATGAGCTCTCAGTCTTGCCAAACTGCCTGGTTTCAGCGGCTGTACTATTCTAGACTCTTTGCAGCTGTATGTTGACGCAAGGTTAGTATGCGACATCTCGGAAATTCTCTTAATTGAACACGGTTCTACGAATGCACAGATATCTCGTTAATCCACTAGCACGCGAGAAGTACCCAAAGGGAGTCCCTACACGTTTCCAGGTTTATCGACTAACAAGCGCTTATGTTCTCCCCAGAGTAAATTCCGAGAAAGTCAATGCTGTCAAGCATTTCGTGCATTAGAAATGACATTGAATCTATCCCAAGGCGCTTGCCAACTTCCGACGGCATCATCTGAAAGTATATATTCAACGGCCTACCACTCGTCAAAATCACCTTCGTTTGGCATACAGTTGCAGCTTCGGAGCATCCTTGTTCTTGGACCGTACTGCGAGACTTGAAGACGTCGACGATCAAATTTCACCAAGGACAGCCTTCCTCACAATGAGCGTCGTCGTCGAGCGTTAGAACTGATCGAGTTCTCACGTATATTTAACCCACCCATATGACTCGTAGATGCTATCTGACCCGAAGCACGGTATGCCTCTGGTTTACCTACTGCCGAGTTTCTCCCGTCTATGCTAGGTTCCAGCATGGCTACTACAAGTCACAACGTTCGCATGCGGAAGAAAATTTCTCATCATTTAACTCTATATTTCTAGACCGCAACCCGTAAACGATGTACAGAGACGCGGTGGCGCTTCCTCGTAGCCAGCGCCAGTAGGTACGCAAGGGTATCTTCGTGCTATTGATGGTATGACTTTCAAGAACCTGGGGAGATCGACGCCTGGTGCTTGTGGGCATTGACTATCTTCCTCTGGCCCGATTCAGCCTCTAGGATCCACCTCTCGCTCCAGGCAGTAGTTTCCCAGCCAATCTTCCAGCATACCTTCTTCCTCCTTCAACGTAGAGCGCATCGGGGCCGTTTGGGGTTGCCAGTCTTCTAGAATGCTCCCAGTTTCTCCAGGAACGATGTCAGGGCTTCTATCCATTGTATAGAGGACATTCGCGGATGATGTGGCATCGAATTTACATGGGCTCCTCGCATGGGCATTGGATGTCCTCTAATAGTGGGACAAAACGGCTGTAGTACTCGTCTGAGAAGCAGTGGACGAAGACTTCACGTCTCCCGTGGAGTTCGTGGAAGTGTTTCCGAGTCGTGGGCTTCAGGGAAGGTGCTACTAGTATGCGGCTGGAGGGTGCGAAGAATCCGGTTGGAGAGTGGGCTTTCCATATCTTTGTCCAATCTTTCCTCAGCTTCGAGTCTTGGACCTTCGGAGGGCATTTGACCGGCTCCCCGCAATCTCAGCTTCTAGCTCTAGAGTCTACCGCTGCCAGCGCCCAGGCCAGTTCCACTCTACGGTCTGTAACTTCCAACAGCGAGTGTATCCTCTTATTGAAGATGACACAGAATGCCTGTCCCGCATGCGGACGAATTCCTATGGGCATTTATTTATCCTCTCTTCGAGGCACAGACATTATCCCATTTCGCTAGGGACTGCGCTCCGAGTCAAACCCGGTTGTTAACCCTAAGCTTCTCGACGAAATCGATGTACACATTTTAGTGATGATATTTGTTCAAGGCCCGCTGAAAGAGCTTTCACAAGTCCAAGCATTTGATTTCGAGTCTCGTCGCTACGACTTTCACTGGGATGTCAACATGGAGAGATTTAGGAACATGACCTGCACGAGAAATTGATTGAACTCACATCGTACTTTAGGTTAACCTTTCTCATCCTGGAGCGTTGTCTGTCCATGTGTTAGCTTCATTGATTTGTATTTCATCTATCCCTCAAAATATCAAAATACGGCGTATACGCTCACTTCTACGCTTCCGGAGATCCTTTTCATTGTCACTCCTCTCTTTTCTGTCCTTCATTGAGGATGTAGGGACAGTACTCAAAGGACGTGTCGAGGATGATGTAGTTGCTATTCTCGACTTGAGAGTGCTTTGGGCGTCAATCTAGATACACGGACATGGGGCACGACATCGTGAGAGTAAGGGTTCAAAGGGCGTCCAGCCTTAGTCACACAAAATTGGAAACGCTTCTCCCAATACCAACGCCAAGAGAGTTCCCTCACAGCTTAAAAAAAGATCGACGAATAGCCTCATATTCTACATCAGCAATTGACTATGAGCCAGATAGTACATTAAGAAAAAACATGAATACATGCAAGATATCGATCAGCACTGAAAAAGGTTACAAAGAGACGTCCATCCTCATCCATGTTCTACAATTGACATCGAATATTCACTCATTCCCCTCATATCCCACCACCACCAAGGATGTACTCAATGGCGGAATGCACGTTTCCGGCTGTGGCTAATAGGGCTCGGACGTTCTGCGATGCGTTTGTGAAGCCCATATCCTGCAATTGCTGCATGTATGCATTAGAAGTGAAGGAAGACGAGTTAGTTGGGGAGCACGTACCTGCAGTTGGACCTGGAACCGCTCTTCGGGCGATCTCGTGTCCGCCGGGGCTGTGGGTGCAGCGCCGAATCCACCTAGTCCGCCACCAAGCCCACCCCCAAGTCCACTGCCTAGGAGGAGCTGCCGCGTCAATGCGGGATCCATCGCAAACGGAGGGCGGGCATTTGGAGTCGAGAGTCCACCGTAGGGATTGAACAGATTTGGCGGTATCGGTGGCGTTCCCGTTCCCGTACCTGGTGCTCCTGCTGCGCCTCCCGTGGCTGCCGCTGTTGCTGCTGCTGCTGCTGCTCCAGTAGCGGGTGATGCACCGCCGCCTGGCACACCTGGGGCGGGGAAGCTACTCGCACCTCCACCCATCCCAAATCCGCCCAACCCGCCGCCTCCACCACCCTGCAGCATCGACGCCATCTGCATCATCTGTTGCAGCCGTTGCGGGTCCGAACTATCCACCCACGAAAAAATCACCGTCAGCAAAAAGCAAAAAAAGGAGCGCCGAAAAACACACATCATCTGGCGGAAGTTTTCACTCTGGAACATCTCCCTGGCCTGCGGCGCCATAGCCTGCAGCTGTGGGTTGGAAGCGATGATTTGGTCGAGCACAGCGGGGTTGGCCATCATCCCGGCCATTTGTTGCAGGAACTCGGGTGAGTTCATCATCGTTTGGAGCTTCGGATTCATTATTCATTAATCGCTGTCAGTTGGCGAACACAAAATACAGCTACACACCATATTGGGGTCGTTCTGGTTTAGGCCCATGTCGGCGAAGGGGTTGACGCCCGCCATGGCGCCGTATCCGAGGTGGCTGTTGAGCAGCGTAAGCGGATCGTGCGGGTTCTGGCCCGTTTGCATGGTGGGAAGCGGCTGCGGGGTCGACGCTGACGAAGACGCATTCCCCCGCGCTTGTCCTTTCACCATGTGGATCGTGTGCCCAGAGCTGATTTTGTACGTGGAAAGAACATCCTCGTCCTAGCAGACAGTCAGCATATATGAGGTTGCGACGGAACAGCCTTGACACCACCTTCAAGACACGTCCTGGTATGCATTTCGTCAGCAAGCTGAAATGTGAGAAAAATGGAGGGAAATACCGGAATAAATGAGCCTCTGCCGCTCCGCTTCTACGTCGGATTTCTCAGCGACTGCTTGCTTGAGCTCGAGAACCGTTTTATCTGTCGCGATCGTTATCTGGAGCTTGATTTCGCCTGGTCCTGGTGCGCAATGCGAATCAGTGGCATGAACGTGGAACAGAATGTGTGTATGAGAGACCTTTTACATTTATCTGGATTTCTTCTGCCATCACGAAAGAGTAGAAAAGAGGAAGAGGAAGGAAGAGAAGGTGTATAGCTGTTCAAAGATGACGTATAGTCAGCCAGCTAGATGCATTAGGTAAGATATTAGGTAATGCCGCTTGAGGCGGGATTCCCTGTTAAGGATGCGCCTCCGCGTCGATTCTCGCCTCACGCTAAGTCGAATGCCGTACAAGGCAAACAAGAGCTCTCTAGCAGTGTTAAAGCGGAGCCTTGCCATAATCGACACCAGAGCTTGTGCTTCCGTTGAAGGACGCCCCATGATGCAGTGAAGCACGTTGATGATTACTCTCCAAAGAGTGGGGTAGCACGCCAAACCTAGATTTTGTTACACTTGGGTTTATTACCGTTAACTTACCTCCCGACAACTGGGTTTGGTGCAAAAGAGGAAAAATGGGGGCACCCAGGATTGAACTGGGGACCTCCAGAATAATCCCTGCAATACATGACACTTCAGTCTGTTACTCTCCCAACTGAGCTATGCCCCCACAGTCTGGGCGGCTAAAATAGTATAGCTGGATATAGGCGATCCAATTCAAGCTAAATTTCTAAATCTCATGGACTCTATCGCCATGCAAGTCCCAGCCATCATCCAAAAGGTGCTCGCCCCGTTCCCGCTGTACACCTACCCTCCCATCCCTCCTCCGTCCCAAACCAAGATCCACCCCACCCCCTGTCTATGGATCCACCCTCCGCACTCACCCGACGGCGTCCTCAGCTCCGACGTCGAGTGCCTCAAATGGCAAGCCTACCTCGCCCTGCGCGGCCTTGACCGCATCGCCGTGCGCACCGACGTCGACCCCCAGGGCTCCATCGACGGGCAGCTTCCCAATCTGTGGGATGGGGCACAGTTGTTGGCGGCAAGAGAGGTGCCTGTTTGGGTGGACGGCAAGGTAGACGTTGGCGATGACGGTGGGCTGGAGGGCTATAGAGACGAGGCGGCGCGTGATGAGAGCCGGGCGTGGGTGGCGCTGATGGAAGGCTGCGTGCACGCCGCGCTGCTCCTGGTCCAACCCGCGCCGTCGCTGTTCTCCCTCGCCGAAACCAAGACCCGCGCTATCGAGTCCATCCTCGCGCCTCCCCCCGCCCCGTTGTCCGGCCTCACGTCCCTCCTCCCGCCCTTTGGCACGCGCATTCCCCGGGAGACTGTGCAGTCGCGCTACCGTGAGGCCATCGGGGCGCTCTCCGAACGACTGGGCACCGACAAGTGGTTCTTGTCATCCGAGTACGTACTTTTTGCCTGTTTTCTCTTTAGTACTGACATCAGGTAGGGCCCCGACACCACTCGACGCGCTTGTCTTCGCGTACCTCCACTGCATACTGCACTCCAAAGACGCGATACGCATCGAGGTGACGCGCAGGGTGAATCTGGTGGCCTGGGAGTGGAGAGTGAGAGGATTAGTTAGGGCGGCGTTTCTACCGGGGCGCTGATTCATGTCAAGGTTGTTCCTACTTGTGTGTTCAATGTTGTCCCTCTACCTTATCACCTTCAATGCAGTGTACAGACTTTCCTGCGCTAGAGAGAGTATTAAGTGTGATTCTAGAAAACGGCTCGAAACCACTGTATGCGGATTTTTCCCAAGCATGCTTCTCTTCAATATGGACTCTAGAATGGTATCAGTTTTCGCCAGCCCCTTGTCTTTGAAATCCCCTTCGACCTCCTCTAAACTCTCGTCTTTACCAACGTGGTCCGCTGCGTATCATGGCTGGAAAGACGGTGTCATCGTTAACTCTGCAATGCTGCGTTCTCGCGGTTCTTCCCTACTACCTTTTGCTTTCCCTTTTCGCCTCTTATCATTATGAGGTCATTCTCAGATGCTCTGCCTGTCTTGCGTAGCAGTGCGCTGCCCAAGGGGTATAGATATCGGTCGCGATGTTGTCCAGGGTAGTTTGATAACAAGGGAATTGAACAGGTGAGCACAACGTTCGATAAAAATGACGCGCTTTCCCCGACTCCTAGTTCGCATTTAAGAGAGATAGTGAACGCTTCACCTCCGTTTAATCGTTGTTAAGTGTGTCGATTCACTTGACCTGCTCGCAATGAATAGGAGCCTAATTTGAACGCCATGGATCACTCTTCCTGGTCTGTAGCACAAGACTTCGACGCCGATTCTTATAAGAAGGTCGCCAACCCTCCGTGGAGAAGACTTGGGTGTATGTTCTATCCTGCTGCGTTGTTGCTTTTGATGGAACTAGGACTGCGGGATTTGCATATAGATGTATTAGACAATGTCAAAGCCCTTGTAGAAATGGCGAAAACTCAATCTTGTTCGCAAAGAAGGCACATAGTGTTACGGGGTTGCTACTCAATAATTCTATCTGTTTAGCATACCTCCTGCGTCTAGTAATTCTACTGAGCTATCGGGGGCCCATCTGCAGTGAGAATACTCGTTCACACAAGTCTTTTCCTTCCCGAGAAAGATCTTTCATACAATTGGCAACAATCTGAGATACAAGCAACGCGACTACAAGCGGCACTAATAGCTAGGTAAACGGCTCGGGGTAGTGGAAGAGCTCTGAATTAGACTCATAAAGTGGCGAACTATAGGCATTTCGTATAGACCAGCTGGTCCTTCCAGTTGCAGAAGGAGGATAACGATCGGATGGAATGGGCACTAGCCTTTCTGGTGATGTCAAGTAGGCTGGATATAAAGGCAGCGTGACCATATAGACGAATAAAGCACGGGATGTATAGTACCGGTATAGGACTAGCAGAGAGTCGTTGAGAGCGTGTTCATCAATGTATTTTGATCACACTTCGAACGCGTCGATCACGGTGCTCGATCACGGGGACTTCGATCACGATATATCATGACCGTGTTGGTTGATGATGCCCATCGCTCCGACCACCACAAGCTGAGGCTGGTCCTTCTTGTTTACACATTATCTACCCCCTCCGAATACAATGCTAGAGCAATTCATCTCCCAGTGCTTCTATGATGAAATCGTGTCTACTGCTCTTCATGACTTTCCTGACAGGCATGATCCGTATGTTGAGCCGCTTCCAACTCGGAAATGCCCGTGTTGTGTCCATCTTACCGTGGATGATGATGACGATGAGGAGCCTACCTCCCAGGTGAGTGGTGTATCTAATCCTCTATGCTCGCATACTAACATGATCAATCCAGGATGAATTCCCACTTCTGAATATCTCACTTTCACAATCTGCCGTGCCACTGCCATCCGACCCCGTTCATGTACCTATATTCTCAACTCTGTCTTCTGTACCCGAACATCTATCTATGTCTACTGCTGCCACACCCATCATTACCACCTCTGACTCTGAGTCTCCTTTACTGCGATGTCCGGCTGCAGAAGTTGTCAACACTCTCCATATCTCCAGCCAGCTATCCTCTCTCAATCACAGAAAAGAGCTCGTCCTGTCCATCCAGAACAATGCTCAGAAGTCACATGTACGTCCTTTCTCGTTCGCATCTGGTCAATCCGTCAACGTCCCTGCAGACTCGGCCAACCAATAAAATAAAGTCACATTCCGAGTTCTGTGGTAAGAAGAAGGTGAAGGGCAAGAAACGTGCCCGAGATACTTCAGGAACCGAAGAAGACAATGGTAGGCGCCAGACGAAGCGGAAGAAAGGGAAGGGTTCGAATGGCGCGGGGAACGGTAGTGTGCTGCGACAGACCCAGAGCGGCCATGTCACCGACAGAATACCGCGGGATAGTCATGGGACCAGAAGTCTGGAACGGCGAGTCCTGGAGGATATAACGAACAAGGTTTTGCATGCTGTGACCTGAGGCCTGGGGATCCATTGAACAATTGGCTAGGAATTATGCACTCACTTAGTCGATTACCTACCGGGCCGTACTTGAAGATCATAACACTACTGCCTTTTGCGTGATCTCACATTGCTGTAGAACGGGAGATCAGTTTCGTTCTTATGAAATACACGGACGGTGTCGTGCCATTTGGCAGAGCTCTACAGACCCATGAAGATGTACACTAGAACCTTCTAATCTTTTCCTACCTCCTCTTCCTTAATCAACAAGTTCGGCTTGATGCCGGATTGCCATATTCCAAAACACAGACTTCGCGAACGAGCCTTTACTCCACTAAAATCTTACTGACTTGCTTCCCTCCGTCTCCCCAAGTAAGCATTTCCTTACACTGCATTGCCAGCCGAGCTCGTCGCAGAAGACTGCTACACCACTTGGCACTAATAGCGCTCGTTCGTGATGGCGCACAAAAATCGGTCCGACGCCCTTGTCCATGAACAAATAGCGTCAGTCAAACAAAAATTAGGTATTTACAGGATAGATATAGTACATAAGAAGCATAAACAAATCAAAAATCAAAACATGTAGAAAAAAGTCCCAAAAGAATGAAAAACGAACGAATGTAAAAATTAAGATGCTAGGATTGGTGAACTACAGTTAGATCCAATGAAGTGAAATGATGGTATGCGAAGATGTGAAGAGATATATGGTCCATTGTAGCCCCAGAAAGTGTGATGGAGGAGAAATAAATTAAGATGCAATGTATAAGAATGTTCATCTCAGTCCAAGTTCAGACGCACCAGCCAGGTCAATAAACCTCGTCACCCGCCTCATAGATTTTATCGCCGCGTAATCGTCCACGTCGTCCGCGCCTCTCGCGTGTCGCTCGCACAGCATCCTCCCATCCACCTCCCAGTACTCCTCCAGCTTCTCGTGACATCCTGGATGTTCGCACAAAAGATGTTCAGGATGGTATCGGTCTCCCGCATGCGAGACCGCACACGGTCCCTCGATTGGCTGGCCGCACGTAGCAGCAGCACATAAGGATTCGTTGGCTTCATGATAGTGATAAGCACATAATGGTCGGCCGTCAAATACATAAAACGTTTTGTCGGGAAAAGATTTCTGAGGACAAGGATTGATTAGATCAATCGCGATGTGGATGTGAAAGAAACGTACGTGGCATATATGGCAATTAAAACAGTCTTTGTGATATTTTCCTTTCAGTTGACCGTCAGAAGACGATACTGCTTGTTTCTCTATTGGTAAATTACAACGCCGACACTGGAGGCGGATCAACATCAGCTCTTCGTTCATCAAGAGAGAGGAGAGAGAAATACTCACTTTGGGTAAATACATATTCTTCCAACACTTCTCGCAAAGCACACCCCCGGTATCAATCTGTATCCACCTCCCGTCCTCGATCTTCATGTCACAGCGTACACAAATCCGAACCTTCTTCGCCGGTCGCTCTATACCACGGAGCGCTTCCTTCCCTTTCCTCACCCTCTCCAAATCTGACGAGCGCTCTTTCTCCGTCCTCGCGCGCGCCGGCAGCTTCACAGGTTTATTCTCTGGACTGCTCGTAACCTGCATCGTATTACTCCGATACGGTATCGGCACAGCGGAAGTCCTCGCATCGCTACCATCCTCTTTCTTGAAATACGTTTGCTTTCCCGTAGACTTGCTCTTGGACAACGACGATCGCGCGTCATCCAACGCGACGTCTTCCAATAACGTCTCCATCGCCCTTTCA